ATACCTTGCCTGGATCGAGAAATGTGGAACCATCAGAGAATCTACAATCCCTGATGGAGAAGAATCAGTCCCTGATAGAGGAGAATGAAAAATTAAGTCGTGGTCTGAGCGAGGCAGCTGGTCAGATAGCCCAGATGTTGGAGAGGATCATTTTGACAGAGCAAGCAAATGAAAAAATGAACGCCAAGCTAGAAGAGCTCAGGCAGCATGCGGCCTGCAAACTGGATCTTCAAAAGCTACTGGAGACTTTGGAAGACCAGGAATTGAAAGAAAATGTAGAGATAATTTGTAACCTGCAGCAACTGATTACCCAGTTATCGGATGAAACTGTTGCTTGCATGGCTGTAGCCATTGAAACTGCGGTGGAACAAGAAGCTCAAGTGGAAATCACTCTAGAGACGAGCAGATCTTCTGATGCTTTTACCACTCAGCATGCTCTCTGTCAAGCTCAGATGTCTAAGGAGCTGGTTGAGTTGAATAACACCCTTGCACTGAAAGAGGCCCTAGTTAGAAAGATGGCTCAGAATGAGAGCCAACTGCAGCCCATTCAGTTTCAATACCAGGATAATATAAAAAGTCTAGAGTTAGAAGTCATCAATCTACAAAAGGAAAAGGAAGAAGTGGTTCTTGAACTTCAGACAGTGAAGAAGGATGTCAACCAAGCCAAGTTGAGTGAGCACTGCCGCAAACGTCTCCAGGAGCTGGAGGGACAAATAGCTGATCTGAAGAAAAAACTGAATGAGCAGTCCAAACTTCTGAAACTAAAGGAATCCACAGAGCATACTGTCTCCAAACTGAACCAGGAGATACAGACAATGAAAAAACAGCGGGTACAGTTCATGCGTCAAATGAAAGAAGATGCTGAGAAGTTTAGACAGTGGAAGCAGAAAAAAGACAAGGAAGTAATACAATTAAAAGAACGAGATCGTAAGAGGCAATATGAGCTGCTCAAACTTGAAAGAAACTTCAAGAAACAATCCAGTGTGCTCAGACGTAAAACAGAGGAGGCAGCAGCTGCCAACAAGCGTCTCAAGGATGCTCTCCAGAAACAACGGGAGGCCACAGATAAGCAGAAACAGACTCAGAGCCATGGAATGGAAGGCGTTGCAGCTCAAGTGAAGAATTGGCTTGGAAATGAAATTGAGGTTATGGTTAGTACTGAGGAAGCCAAACGCCATCTGAAAGACCTCCTTGAAGACAGAAAGATCCTGGCTCAGGATGTGGCTCATCTCAAAGAAAAAAGAGAATCTGGGGAGACTCCACCTCCTAAACTCCAGAGGCATACATTCTCTCTTACTGAAGTGTGTGGTCAAGTTTTGGAGTCAGAAGATTATATTACAAAACAAATCGAAAGCCTAGAGACTGAAATGGAACTCAGAAGTGCTCAGATTGCTGACTTACAGCAGAAGCTGCTTGATGCAGAAAGTGAAGACAGGCCAAAACAACGCTGGGAGAATATTGCCACCATTCTGGAAGCCAAGTGTGCACTGAAATATTTGATTGGAGAGCTGGTCTCCTCCAAAATACATGTCACCAAACTTGAAAACAGCCTGAGACACAGCAAGGCCAGCTGTGCTGACATGCAGAAGATGCTGTTTGAGGAACGAAATCATTTTGCTGAGATAGAGACAGAGTTACAAGCCGAGCTGGTCAGAATGGAGCAACAGCACCAAGAGAAGCTGCTATACCTTTTCAGCCAGGTGGAGCAAAGCCAAATAGCAGAGAAACAGTTAGAGGAATCAGTTGGTGAAAAGGAACAGCAGCTGCTGAGCCCACTGAAGTGTCAGGGTGTAGAACCTGAGAAGATGCGAGAAGTGTGTGAGCAAAATCAGCAGCTTCTCCGAGAGAATGAAATCATCAAGCAGAAACTGACCCTCCTCCAGGTAGCCAGCAGACAGAAGCATCTTCCTAAGGATACCCTTCTATCTCCAGACTCTTCTTTTGAATATATCCCACCTAAGCCAAAACCTTCTCGTGTTAGAAAAGTTAAGTTTCTGGAGCAAAGCATGGACATCGAGGATCTAAAATATTGTTCAGATTCTGTGAATGAGCATGAGGATGGTGATGGTGATGGTGACAGTGACGAGGGGGATGATGAGGAATGGAAGCCAACCAAATCAGTTAAGGTGTCCAGGAAGAACATCCAAGGGTGTTCCTGCAAGGGCTGGTGTGGAAACAAGCAGTGTGGGTGCAGGAAGCAAAAGTCTGACTGTGGTGTGGCCTGTTGCTGTGACCCCACAAAGTGTCGGAACCGCCAGCAAGGCAAGGATAGCTTGGACACTGTTGAATGGACCCAGGATTCTGAAGGCTCCTTCAAACTGGAGGATCCTACTGAGGTGACCCCAGGATTGAGCTTCTTTAACCCCGTCTGTGCCACCCCCAACAGCAAGATCCTGAAAGAGATGTTCGACATAGAGCAGGTGCTGTCAAAGAAGACTGCTCCAGCTCCCTTCCCTTTTCACCTCCCAGAGTCGAAAGGTGTAGCAACAGAATACCAAGAAAATAAGGCTCCAGGGAAAAAAAAGAAACGAGCTCTGGCCAGCAACACCAGCTTCTTCTCTGGCTGCTCCCCTGTGAAAGAAGAGGCCCACTGAAATTGGAGTCGTGATCTCCACCCCCAGTCTGGCTTGGGAGTTGCTTTCAGGTTGCAGCCAGAAGGGATTTTTAAAATGACTTCTCTGGATTTCAGGTTTCTTGCTGTTGAAAAAAGGAACAAAGTGTTACTGGGAAGAAGGTAACTTCTGTTGGATGTTGGCCCTCAGCCTCCAGCCCCAGACTACTGCTCTCTGTCCTCCAGAGGGGTGCTAGGCCACCTACTGAAGAGAGACCCAACTGACTTTCCTAATGACTCATCAGGAACTAGTACGCACTATGGTCAAGTTCTTTCTTATCTGTGAGCAATTCAGGCTATCTCCTGATGGGGATGAGGCCAAGGCTTTCTTTTTCTTTTTTCTTTTTTTTTTTGGAGACAGAGTCTCACTCTGTCACCAGGCTGGAGCGCAGCGGCGCTATCTCGGCTCACTGCAATGTCTGCTCCCAGGTTCAAGCAATTCTCCTGCCTCAGCCTCCCGAGTAGCTGGGATTACAGGCACCCACCACCACGCCCAGCTAATTTCTGTATTTTTAGTGGGGACGGGGTTTCACCATGTTGGCCAGGATGATCTCAATCTCTTGACCTCGTGATCTGCCCACCTTGGCCTCCCAAAGTGTTGGGATTACAGGCGTGAGCCACCACACCTGGCGAGGCCAAGTCTTTCTTATCTTTTGGTTGTCTCTGCTTAATAGAGGAGCCTGGTTTAAGATGGAGGCCTGGCTCAGATCTTTCTCTCCACCTCAGGAATGGGGTTGTGTTCTTTCCTGCCCTGACCCTCTCTGAATTGTAAGTGTTTCAATAGTACTCTCAATTGTCTGCCATGTTTTGGAAATAAATGAATAATTTTTTTAAATGTTAAGTATGGAAATAAACCTTAGCCCATCTACTGCTAAAAAAATTTCTTGTAGACTCTCATGCCATCTGTGAATAAAGATAAATTTTTTTTTGTTGTTGTTTTGTTTTTCAGATAGAGTCTCACTGTTGCCCAGGTTGGAGTGCAGGGTTGTGATCTTGGCTCACTGCAACCTCTGCCTCTGCGGTTCAAGTGATTCTTGTGCCTCAACCTCCTGAGTAGCTGGGATTACAGGCTGATGCCACCATGCTTGGCTAAGTTTTTGTATCTTTAGTAGAGATGAGATTTCACCATATTGGCCAGGCTGGTCTTGAACTCCTGACCTCAAGTGATCTGCTTGCCTCAGCCTCCCAAGGTGCTGGGATTATAGGTATGAGCCACTGTGCCTGGCTGTGAACAAAGACAGTTTTATTTCTTCCTTCCCAATGTGTATACTTATTTACTTTTCTTGTCTTATGACATGAGTTAGTATTTTTAGCACAATGTTGAAAAGAAGTGGAAAGAGAGGACCTCCTTGACTTGTTCTGTATCTTAGTGAGAAAGCTTCCAATTTCTCACCATTAAAGTATGATGTTAGATGTAGGTTTTTTGTAGATATTCTTTATGAAGATAAGGAAGCTCAACTTTGTTTCTAGTTTACTAAGAGTTTTTATCATAAATGGGTATTAAAGTCAAATGCTTTTTCTGAATCTATTGATGTGATCATGTAATTTTTATTTTTTAGCCTGCTGAGGTGATAGATTACATTGATTTTTGAACATTGAAGCAGACTTGCATTGCTGGGATGAATTCTACTGGGTTATGGTATATAATTCTTCATTTTCTTTTCTTATAATGTCTTTGGTTTTAATATTAGAATCACATCATGTTTTTGAGATTCATTCATGCTATTGCGTATATTAGTAATGTTATGGGGTCTCTGGGGTGTTGATTTTTCTGGCCAGAAACCTCTGTGGCCACAGCACCTTTGCCTGAGTTCTTGTCCTGTGTCCAGGAAGAATGAGGTACACAGGCAAGTGAAGGGTGAAGAAGAGTTTTATTTAGTGTTAGAACAGCTCAAGGAGTGGGTAGCGGCTATCTGTGGACAGGTTGTCTCATCGAGTGTTCAGTTCTCAGCAGAGAGGACGCCCTGGAGAGGGTGGCTCCTCTCCGCAGGCAAGTCATTCAGATGTCTTTGAAGCTCTCATCCAAGAAGGTGGCTCCTCTCTGCTGGCAGGTTGTCTCTGCAGCTCTCAGTGGAGAAAGTACTACTACTCTCTGCAACTGGTCATCCAGTCATCTCCCATTATCTCCAGCTATGAGCAGAAAGAGTACTCTGCTCTGCAGCTGATTGTTTCCTCCTCATCTCTCTGCCTTCTCTCTCCTCTGGCTGTCCTCTGGCCTACTCTAGCTGAGCGCTTAGGACTTTTATGGACCTTGGAAGGGAGGAAGTATGTGCTGATTTGTTCATAAGCGGCATGGGCAGGCTGGAAGAGGCATTATGAGTTCCCACTCCACTCTGTAGGACTGGCAGCCCAGTCTCCAGCCTTCAGGCCTCCCTGACCTGAAGAAGGGGTCTTACTGGGGCCCCTGCACCCTTCTGCCAAGCAATCAATCTGTCTCCTGCTGTCATGCATGGCCCTGGGGCTTGGCCTCAACTTCCGCTCTGAGATCAGAGCAGGCATCGAGCAAAGAGAAGCCAGGCAGTGGGAGCAGACACCTCTGAGCCTGCAGGTATGGGGAGTGGGAGTGGTGGTGGGGGTGGGAGGTGGTGTGGGCGGGAGGTGGTGTGGGCTTCCTGGGGCCTCTGAGGGTGCAGGCTGCAGAGATGCCCGGGTCCTGCACCTGGGAGGGAGGCCAGAGCTGCTCCTGGGAGCTCCTGCCCTGCTAACTCAAAAGGGGCAGGCATCCCCCTTTGCCCCACCTACTGACTACTTCCTGGAGTGGGAAGCCCAGGTTTGCAGCTGCGGGTATGGCAGCTGCAGCTGCACCCACGAGGGCAGATCCTGCCTGTTCCTGGCTTTCCCCAAGAGCACAGAGGCTCAGATCCCCAGCTGCAGTTTGGGCAGCTGTAGCCCCAGGGGGGTGGGGCTCCTGCCTGCTTTGTAGAGCAGGAGGCCTGGGTCTGCAGCTGTGGTTTGGGTGGCTGCAGCTGCACGGAGAGCTCCCATCTCAACTCAGAAGGCTCAGGGCTCCCAGAGGCTCCATGGAGTGTGCAGCTCCAGCCCCACTTCCCTGCTGCAGCCAGCATGTTGGCAGCAGCCACTACTGTCAGCAGTTGGTTCCTTTATATGGCTAAGTAGTATTCGATATTATGAATATATAACAATTTGATTATCATTTTCCTATTGGTGAGTATTTGGATGATTTCCATTTTATGTTCTTATGAGAAGGCTGTAGTAAATATTCCCTTATGAGTCATTTTGTGGATATATGTTTTCATTTTTCATGGATTAATATTCAGGAATTGAAATGTTGGGTGATGAGTATATGTATGTTTAACCTGAGAAGAAACTGACAAAACAGTTCTTCAGAGTACCTATACCATTTTACACTCCCACCAGCAATGTAAGAGAGTTCTAGTTTTTCCACATACTAGTGAACACTTGGTATTACCAGTTTTTGTAATTTTAGACATTCTTATGTATGTAAAATGGTATCTCGTAGTTTTAATTTGCATTTCTCTTATGACTAGTTATATTGAGCATAGTTTCATATGCTTAATTGGCCACTTGGAAAATTAATTTCATAAGATACTTGTTTAAATCTTTTGCCCATTTAAAGCCAGTTTAAATGACCAGAAAGAACAGCAGGACTCTAGATATAGTTCCTAATCATTAGTACCTTAGGAACAATTTACCTCTTGCTTTTTGTGAAATGGGATTTTGGTAGATTGCAAAGATACCTGATTCTGATGGCCTTGTCACTTTCTTTGGATTCTGATGACCTTGTTACTTTCTTTGGCCAATAGAATGCAAAAGAGATAGGTGTCTGTTCTAAACCTAGGTCTTTTTTTTTTTTTTTTTTTGAGATTGGGTCTGGCTCTGCCACCCCCTCCCACCTCAGCTTCCCGAATAGCTGAGAGTACAGGAGTGTGCCACAACGCTCAGCTGATTTTTACACTTGTAGTAGAGATGGGGTTGCCCAGGCTGGTCTCAAACTCCTGAGCTCTAGCAATCTGCTAGCCTCAGACTCCCAAAGTGCTGGGATTACAGGTGCGAGCCACAGAACCTGGCCTTCTAAGCCTAGATCTTTAAGCATTGCGTCCTTTTGCTTCTTCTCTTGGAACTTTGCTGTTGTTGTGTAAAAAGCCTCAGCTGGCCTGTTGCATGATTAAAGGGATGTGACCCAATCACTTCCTTTGTCCCAGTGACCAATCAGCCAATTGACCAACATGTTAGTGAGGTCACCCTAGACCAACAGGATCTCGGCTGACCAGCCAGGTGACTGCAAACACATGAGCAAGCCCAGTGAAGATCAGCTGAGTCTGGTCCAGATCAACACAATCATCAGATGACCCATAGACTCCCGAGCAATATGAAGGCTTAAGTTACTACATTTTAGAGTAATGTGTTATGCTGTGGTAGATAACTGATATAGGGAGATTGGCAATCTGGATTTTGGTAAACCAGATATTAGAAAGGTAAGGATAATTCGTTCGTAAATAAAAATAATTCCTAGGTTTTACGTTAATAGCTGCATCAAGTTGGGCAAGTCGTTTTAAATTTCCTCGTCTAGTAACTGAAATTAACAAAATAGATTCTTTGAGGTGGGTTGTCAGGCAGAGCAAATGGGAGAAAATATGGGGCAGTACGTTATAAAACAGCAGGTTGACATCATTTCTCTACACTTTGCCCTTGGTTTCTTTATTATTAAGGTTGGTGCAAAAGTGATTGTGGTTTTTGCCATTACTTTCAATCACTTTTGCACCAATCTAATAAAACATTAATAACTTTAGGAAATAATGGCATGAGTCTGTTTTATAAAGTTAAAAGCAACTTGCTTTTTACCATGACCTAGGAGGCCTACATGATCTGGCTACTCAGTTCTCTTCACTTTCCTACCTGTCTCTGTGTCCAGATCAGGGGTGTCCTCTCTGTTCCTCACACATGCCACGTGCCTTCCCACATGAGAACGTTTCCATCTGCTGTTCCCTCCACCTGTGATAATATTCCCACCTCTCTCTCTCTCTCTCTCTCTAAGTGAACCAGAATTCAGGAACAGTATACTTATAATGCAAATAGGATCATGTGAAGTAGCACTCTTAGTAATTAATATATGTTCTCTATTTTGAGTCAGAGTAATGCAAAAGATAAGTAAAAAAAAAATCCCTTTGTCTTCTCCTATAGAGTTTCTTTAATTCAGAAATCAGAATATTGAGCAACCTAGGAGAAGCAATTGAGTTTCATGAAAGCTGGTTGGGGGGCCTTCAGAAAAGATTGCTTCCCAGTCATTATTCTCTCTTTCTTCCCCCATCTCTCATGCTTTACTGAGATAATTTTACATCATAAAATTTAACTGTTTTCAATGTACTATTCAATCTTTTTCGTGTATTTACAGAATTGTACAACCACCGTCACAATCCTATGCCATCATCTCCAAAAGAAACCCATCCACATTTACAGTCACTCCCATTATCACCCCCAGCTCCAGGCAACCCCTAATCTACTTTCTATGTCTATATATTTGCTTTTCTGGGTGCTTACGAGAAACAGAATTATACAATGCCACACATCTTTTAATGGCCTTCTTGCCTTAGTCTTTGCATCACAACTGAAATGTTACCTCTTTCCTTAAACTTCACTGTTATTCTGCATGTCATCCCCTCATTTTTTTTGGTAGAACTTACTGCAATTTGTAATTATTTCATTTGTTTGTTTACTTGCTTTTGTCTGCCTATGCTACTAGAATATCGTTTTTCTGAGGTCGGGGAAAATTTCTGTTTTACATTCTGCCTGTGTTCCAGGACCTACTTAGTGCCAAATGCAGAGTGGATGGGTGTCCAGTAAATATCTGCTGATTGAAATAAGTTTTTAAAAAGTATTGGGGCAACAGGATAGTGGACTAAGAGGCCCTAGACTCTCCTCCCCCACCAACAAATACACTGATTCAACAACAATTCATGGACAAATTCCCTTTGTGAGAAATACAGAAACTAGTTGAGAGGCTCTTTCACCCTGGATGAGTGCAAAATATGACACATCGAAGCCAGTAGGAAAATTTGACACCCTCTCACTTCATCTTACCCCTGGCACAGTGCCATAAGATTGAGAAAAACCATGCCTTCAGCTTCCAGCTTCTCTTTGAAGAGGCAAAGAATTGAATTGCATGTTCAATGCCCCAACTTTTTCAGGAGTCCCTGAGGACTGTCTTATGTCTTTTCAGTCTTGGAACACTGACAGGACTTGGCATACTCTAATCTCCAAGAAGAGAGCAAAGATAGTGGTTTGGGCTGACAGTTGCCACAGCTCCTACCTCAGCTCAGCACAGAGTGAGCATATGAAAAACCCTAGCTCCTAGATTCTCCCAAGGAACAGCAAGTGTTGGTCTGCATGCCTGATGCTCCAGCTTTTCCAGGCACTGTCCAAAGGACTGGATTTTGTTTGGAGTGCTGATAGAACCCAGCATAATCTAGCTGCCTGAGGGCTAGTGGAAACAGACAGAGGTTTATTTTACTTTATTTTTTTGTATTTTGCTTTTTGAGAAGGAGTCTTGCTCTGTTGCCCAGACTGGAGTGCAGTGGCACAATATCGGCTCACTGCAACCTCCACTTCCTGGGTTCTTACTTTCTGAGGCAGTTCTCCTGCCTCAGCCTCCCGAGTAGCTGGGACTACAGGTATGCACCACTATACCCAGCTAATTTTTGTATTTTTAGTAGAGATGAGGTATCGCCATGTTGGCCAGGCTGGTTTCAAACTGCTGACCTCAGGTGATCTGCCCGTCTCGGCTTCCCAAAGTGCTGAGATTACAGGTGTGAGCCACCGTGCCCCACAGACAAACAGACCTTTAGGCTGACAGCCTCTATAGCCCCGTATCCTCAGTCAGCACAGAATTAATGAATGAAAAACCGTAGCTTCCAGCTTCTTTGTGGGGAGGGAAAGAGTTAAATCACACATCCAATGCTCTAACTTTTCTGGTGCTGCCTAAAGAACTGGCTTCTCTCTTGCCTGTCTTAAAGCACTAATGGAAACCAGCATTCTAGTCACCTGGGGGCTAGTGAGAAAAAGATAGCATTTTTACCTAGCACGTAGTTAGTCACCACCGCTCTCCATCCAGCTTGGTGCACAGTGAGCAGCTAAAAAAACCAACACTCAAATTCCAGCTACTCCTTGGGGTAGAAAAAGAATTGGACAATGTTTAATAATCTAAATTTTTGGGGAGCTTCCCAATGGATTAGCTTCATTTTCAGTTGTCTGAGAGCACCAACTGGACGAAACATACCTGGAAGTCACTGAAAATAAGGAAAGTGGGTTGGACTAGGAATAAAGGTTTTTTTGGGGCTCCAGAATTTCTGGGCTCGTTGATGAAGGCATTCTATATGAGGCCAGTCCATGAAGACTAAGAGAGGTGTTTGTTTGTTTTCCCTAATGAGCAGATACTAACACAGAAAATCAAGATAAATGAATAAATAAATATTCAAGGTAAACGAATGCATAGGGAAATATGTTGCAAACAAAGGAACAAGATAAATGTCCAGAAATAGCCATCATAGAGGTGCTCACCGAGGGGACTTC